TTCTTTGAGCTGCGTTCATTTGGATTCGACCGGATAGAGCGGCGTTTCTACAATGATTGCGCAGGGTAGCCTACGCACGCCTAGGCCACCTCAGTTCTCCGCGTTAATAGAACATGTATTCGGCGAGAGCTTCCTCATGGGAGAGACTTGATTTATCGATTCATAAATGTGACGAGCAAAGAGGCTGTTGACGGCTCCTTAGAACCTACCACGCTGCAAACCTATACCTTTCGTCCAAACCCTGCTCCACTCAAGTAGCAGAAATACGGGATTGCTCCCCGAAGCTCCCTTTTGCTTTGAAGAGTGTTGCTTTTAAGGATGGCAGGAGATGATGCCCTTGCAAAAGCTGCTAGAGATTCCACGGAGGGAACTGCCAGTAACGAAGGCGGGAAGTGCGTGATCGCGATGTTGGACGCTTTCATAGCATGAGCTCTCTTGCGCGCAAGGTGTGACTGTGGACTCAGCTAAAGCCCTTGAGGACTTGCGCAATACTTGAAAAGAAAGAACAGAACAGAACAAAAAAGAACCGAAGGAAGGAAGGAAGCAAAAAAAACAGGACCACGCAAACATTTTTTTGCCGTTGGGCAAGGGGGGAGACTGCAATTTTCAGGACCAGCTGCATGCCACTGTAATGGCCAGATTGGAGGACGATTTGTTGGTTTTGTCCTGATTTGGGAATGCAGAAGGAATATGTGAACGCGTCCAGGATATTTTGACAAAGCAAGAGACGGACATGTGGCGTCGCGGTCAGGACAAACGTTGACAGTCGCAGGGAGTCGGGAACGGTATTTGCTCAAATAATTGTTTGAGGTGATTGTGATGGTTGTGGTTGCGGTGGTGGTGGTGGTTGGTTGAGATGGTTGGTGGTGTCAGAGAGGCTGGCTAGCAGCAATGCTTGAGAAGAGAAGTTTACGGGGGCCGTTTTTTTGGTTGTTGGAAGGGCTGATAACTTAAAAAGTCTGAAACTGTTCTGTTCGCTTTGTCGGGGACTTTGTGCCGCTTGAGGTAGGTCGATGGATTGCTAGCTGGATGGATGGCGGGTAGTTCATTTGTGCCGCTGGCAGTGCTGGCTGGATGGAGGGGTGGGTGGATGGATGGATGTAAGGGGAGGAAGTGTCAGAGAGAGAAAGGATAAGCAGCGGAGATAGAGAGATGAAGTAGACGTGGATAGATGGACGTGTGGTTGAGGAGATAGGACGTGGAGATATGGAGAGATTCAGAGAAGATGAAAATCAAATGGCAAGTAGGTGGATAAGGGAAAGAGCGAGAGAGAGAGAGAGAGAGCGAGAGCGAGAGAGATCGATAATGTGATCTAGAGTTTTTTTTTTTTTTTTTTTTTTTTTTTTTTTTTTTTTATCTTATATATATATGTTGTTGAAGGTTTCGTGATGACCCAACAAAAAAGGCTAATAATGGTACCTCTTATAGCGACAGGGAGCGATGGGTACAACTTTGTTAGGGTTTTTGGTTTGGGGCTACGCAAGTTAACATGTTTGGTTGCGCTGTTCTGTTTTGACCTTGGGGTGGAAAACACTCTAGCCACAGTTCTTTCACCGGTGCCGCGCGACTTTTGATGCTTCACAGGATGAGCAGAGATTGAAATCCGAGGTCGTTATCAACTAACTTCTGGATCAGAAGGCATCTTTTGGTTTCCTTTTTTGGGTGTTCATAGCAACAAAAGCTTTCACTTCACCTGTCGATTTTCACTGTTTACGTCGAGAGTTCAGGTTGGTGAAAACAAGGGTCAGACATTTAGTTACATTTCAATCCGCGGGCACCACTAGGCTTAACGAGAGACAGAGCGAGGCACCACTAGGCTTAACGAGAGACAGAGCGAGAGAGATTAGCTGCAGAGATAGAGATATAGACTAGGCATAGAGAGAGAGAGAGAGAATATGTTAAGTAGATGTGGAGAGATAGATGTGTGTAGAGATGGGGCCATGGACGGCTAGTTGGACTGATGTGTGGATGGATAGACACAGAAAAGCTCTCAAATAGATGTGGCTAGAAGTGCAAAGATGACAAGTAAATGCTGATTCACCGTTGTGTGTAGAGATGGAGGGCTTGATAACAAAAGAAAGGGCGCCTGTTTTGGCGAGAGCGAGAGATGCAGAGCTAGAGACTGGCGCTTTGATGGAGACATAGAGAGATAGACAGGAGATGATAGTGTGGGTAGGTGAAGACTTTGGATAGCTGAATGAACCGCCAGTTGGACGAATAGCTGGGCGGATGGATGGACAGAAGGGAGAGTGTCAGAGAGTAGATGTGTACAGTTAGACTTGTGGAGGCAATTGGATGGCTAGTGGGACAAACGGGTGGGGGGATAGGTGGCTGGATAAAAGCGGAAAGAGAGGGAGGGAGGTTGCGGTAGACCCAGTTCCTATCGAGGGAGGGAGATCGAGAGATATCAGGAAACCTTCGGTTCGTTTCGATTCGTTTCCGTTGTTTGAAACTGGAATGATTGCGATTCGGTTCCCCTTCCCTCCGGGAATCGGTTCGGTTCGGTTCCACGTTTTCTTGATCGGTTAACGCAGCAGAAGATGGCATGTGACACGCAGGATTTGGCCGAGTACAGCATAGTTTCCATAGTTTCCACAATGCATACCCATGGGAGTGTTTTTGGCGTTGAGAAGCGGTGAGTGCCATGGTTTTGAGCCAAAGACCTCTTGAAAGTATTTTTCGCAATGTGAAAAATCGTTTTTTGGCATCGTTTTCTACGATCGCTCATCTCAAACTCATTTTCGGCTGTCGTGACTCGGTTCCCAAAAATTCTATTCGGGTTAACCCTGTCATTTCGAGATTGGTTTTGGCACCCTTTGCCATTCGTACAGACCCCAGAAACAGCCAACATCATGTTTGGTAGGTCGTTGAAGAATCCATGGTAAAAATGATTTTGGTGAGAATGAAACAGTTCTGTCACAGCGCCTGTCAGTCATGAATTTTCATTCCTGTGTTAAGCAGAAGCCTTCCAAACGGCTTGGTACTATGTCTTCAGGATATTTGCTATTTGGACAGAAACCGTGTCAGGGTTGCAAGCCTTGAGAATCGTTTCTGACAATGTTTGGGCGCGTCCTTGTTGTGACACCTACCAACTGGGCTTGAAAAGAGCCGTCTGAGAGCCAAACAGATGAGCTCAATCAGTCCGAGGACTCGAAACAAAGATGGTTGTTGCTTCAGCGGGCTCCAGCCAGATGGTTTGTTGCTTGAGCGGTTCCATGCGGTTCCCGGTTGGTTGCCATTCCGTTTAGGCGTTTTTATAAGCGTTGCGGTTCGTTTCGGTTTCATAGAAACCGGTTTTCAGTCCGGTTCGGTTCATGCCGGTTCCATAGAAACTGCTACTTTCCCTGGTTCGGTTCGCGGTTCGCTTTTCGGTTTCTAGGGCTTACTGAGATATGGAGAGCTTGAGAACGAATGGAATCCGTTCTTCGGGCGCCTTTGTTTAGTTTTTTGAGGCCCTGATAATAGGCCAACAAAAGGGCACTCTTGTAGCGAGAGCGAGCGATTGAGAGCTTCCTTATCTCGTTTTGAGGGCCTAATAGAAGTAGAAGCATCACTTTAACTTTGTTCGGCAACTTGAGCTGTAGGCTGGTTGATGGATTGCTAGCTGGATGTCAAAGGGCGCGCGCGCGAGAGAGAGAGAGAGAGACGATGATAAGTGCCATGATGGATGTGTACAGAGTCTGGAAAAGCTGTTGTGGATGGCTAGTTGAAGGAATGGGTGGGTGGATGGTTGGATGGTTGGATGGTTGGATGGTTGGATGGTTGGATGGATGGATGGATGGATGGATGGAAGGTGAGAGTGTGTCTGATAGATGGCGAGATAGAGAGATAAGCTGGAGAGTATGGGAGATAGATGAGAAAGACTGGGATTGTTGAGTGTGGCTAGATGCAAAAAGGTCAACGGATGGCTAGTTCGACGCGTGGGTGGGTGCATGGTTGGATGGATAGAAGGGGAGAGTGTCAGAGAGATAACGCGACAGAAAGATAAGCTGAAAAGATATGAAGATAGAGACATGGAGGGATAGAGAGATTGTTAAGTAGATGTGGCAAGATGATGAGTAGATGTGTAGAGAGTGTAGATAGGTGGATGGGTGGCTAGTTGGATGAATGGGTGGGTGGATGGATGGATGGATGGATGGGGAGGGAAGGACAGAGACATAGCGCGCGAGAGAGAGAGAGGGATAAGCTGAAGAGATGGAGATAAAGAAATAGAGAGAGATGTGGAGAGATGGATGTGTGTAGAGATGGATGGGTAGTTGGACTGATGTGTGGATGGATAGAGACTGAGACTCTTAAGATGTAAAGAGATGGCAAGTAGATGTTGATAGGTTGATAGATCGTTGTGTGTAGAGTGCAAACAGGTCAATGGCTGGCTAGTGGGACGAATGGGTGGGCGGATAGGTGGCTGGATAAAAGCGGCGAGAGAGGTAGAGAGGTAGCGAGATCGAGAGATGGGGAGCTAGAGCACATATGGAAAGCACCCCGAGTAGGGCCCTTTTTTGGCTTTTTTGAGAGCCTGATAACAAGAAGGGCGCCTATTTTGGTGAGATCGAGAGATGGAGAGCTAGAGAATGGCGCTTGCTGGCACTGGTTTCGTTTCCTTCCTTCCTAGGCATGCATATACTGTATATACATATGAAGAAGTTGTCAGGTGACATGCATCATGGCTCGGACAGGAACTAAGGGTGTTTTACCGTCTGCAGGCGCCTCAGCCAAGCTTTTGCGGGGTGGAGAAACCGCGTTCGTTCGTGTGCCATAGACACGAGCTGCTTCAGTGGCATCGGAGCCTTGTTGGTTGCCGCATCCTGGCCTTTGGGTTTGCTTGGTCGCCGCCGCGCGGCCGCGCTTGCTCGCTTGCTTGGTGGTTTTTTTTTGCACGCCTTTCTCTAGGTTCCTGAGTTTGAGGTGGGTGATCTTGGCGGGTCCCCTGGTTTAGATTCGGGAGAAGGAGGAAAAGCACCTTGTTTTGGCCTGGTGGCCTTGTTTGGGCAAGCGTCCATAGAGCACCTCGCTGGACCAAGGAGAATTTGATGTTTTGCTGTTTCACGACCCCTTTTTCCTTTTTTGGAGCTGGGCTTCATGGCTGATGAGAAGGATGCCAATGCAGGCGCCTGGACGAGGGTGCCGACCTGGGATGGCTCGCCACAAACGTGGCGAAGCTTTCGCAAAGAGATGTCCTGGTGGCTGGCTGGCTTGGACATCCAAAGCGCGAAGAAATACAACTTGGCCGCTCGCTGGCTCCTAAAACAATCAGGAGTGGTCCGCCAGCGCGGAGAGGAGTTCGATCCTCGCGACCTCGAGTATGGGAAGGAGATCAAGATGCCGAATGCCGAGACCGGCGATGATGAGGTTGTGATGGAGGAAGATCCTCTCAGCGGGATCAACAAGCTGCTGACCGCCCTCGAGGAGATGACTGGTCGGTCCTCTTTGGACAAAGGAGGAGAACTGAGGAATGTCTTCTACCTTGAGCTGAAGCACAAGTCGGGAGAGAGAATCTCTGAGTTCGCCACCCGCTACAGAGGCTTGGTTGCTGAGTTGAAGGCTGAAGGAGTCACCATCCATGACGGTGAACTTGGCTGGTGGTTCAAGCAGAAGCTTGGCTTGGACCCCCTTCGAACTCAGCTCCTTGAAACTGCCCTTGCAGGTGCCGAGGACTACCCGACCATTGAGCGTGAAGTTCTGAGGCTGTTCAAAGACCTTCATGCGGCTGACCCTCTCTACCGCCGTTCCGGCGATGCGGACCAGAAGACTCCTTTGTTGAGCCGGTTCCTGAACCAGCAAAGTGGTGCTAGCAGGGCTTCTTCCTATGCTCCATCAATGACGAGCTCAGCGGCAAGGTCTATGAGGTCAGGTTCCTCTACGGCTTCCTCCGGACGGATGACGCCAAGCACTTCGTTCCGCCGGCCTTTTCAGAAGCAGGCCATGGTGTCGGAGGTTGAGGAGGAGATTCCGGCCACTGCTGAGGCCTATGAAGTTGATGGTGATGATGAGGAGGCCGAACAGCCTTCTTTGGAGGAGGTTCTGACAACAGAAGCTGAAGGGAGTTGATCCTGAGACCTTGCAGGAGATTGAGGAGAGCGTTGAGGCTGCGGCTGAAGCTTTCCTGACCATGAAGGTGGCCATGAAGCAAGTTGCAGGAGGTTCGAAAGGACCGTGGATACGGCAAAGCTGCTTCACCTTCCACGAGCTCTCCCGCCTCCAAGGTGAGTTTGAAGAAGCAGTCAGACAAGCGTCCCTGTTTTGATTGCGGGCTTCCTGGTCATTGGGCGGGGATCCTGAGTGATTTGAAGCCTGGCCAACAGCTTGGACGCAAGAAGAAGGTGGCTCCAAAGCAAGTGAAAGTTGCAGAGGCGCTGAACACGGAGCATGAGGAGATCACAACACCTGAGCACGAAGTGATGATGCTCCGACATGAGTCACCTGTCCTCACCGACGCCTTCCTGTCCACTGTACAGCAATTCCATGAGCCCAAAGAGGTGAACGCTTTGGGCCTAGCACTGGACAAAAGATTGGTGGGGGCGTTGGACAGCGCGTGCAACAGAACATGCACGGGGGCTGACTGGTTGAAGGGCTACCTCCGTCGTTTGAAGTCGTCGGCCCCTTCTGAAGTGTTGGACCTCGTTCGTCGCGAACCTGAACGTGAAACTTTTCGCTTCGGCAATGGGGGCACCCAAGTGAGTGAGGAAAGATGGAGGTTACCCACCATGATCGGTGGGTCGGTGGGACAGTGGTTTGTTTTTAATGGACTTCGGTGGTTCCCGTGAGCTCTTTGGGACTCTTGTTGGGGCGGGACTTTTTGGAGGCCATTGGAGCGGTGATGAACTTTTCTCGCAAAGCGTTGCGTTCTGACCTCACCGACGGCGTCGAGATCCCCCTCAGTCAGCTCGCTGCAGGCCACTATGCATTGCACCTCCTGCCGGACCGATGGCCAGGCCTGGACCCTAGAGATGGAGACGCCTTGGTTTAGATGGTGTTTTGGAAGTGCAGTTTCCTTTCCAGCAACTGATCCATCGTCGGTTGAAGACGAAAGGAGGTTTGTTCAAGAAAACGGCCACGACCAACCATGGCCATTTTGTGACTGAGAGCAGCTTGCAAGCCGGCCGACTCGTTGTCTTCGGATCGTTTTGGCTCGGTTCAAGCGCCTTCCATGTCCGCCTTGCCTGCGGATGTGCTTTTGACATCGACTTCATCTTCTACCAGGGCGACTCCGAGCTCTACTACCGGAGATGCTGGGCGGCGAGCCCTCAAGCACCGGACCGGCAACAAGATGGTGAACCTGTCACTGACTCGGTGGCGACGGTTCGGGAGTGTTTTTGTGGGCGCTGCCAAGGTCGCACTTGTGTTACTTGCCGCTGCCTTATCCCTCTACGGGGACTCCGGATCGCTGGCTGCTGCAAGGCCAAAAGCAAGTGGCCGACGGGCTGCAAGAAGCACCTGGACCTGGCCTACACCATGGACAGGTTCGTCTACAAGAACTTGAACGAGTGCAGCCATTGGAGAGATCGGATGGGTGCGCAGGCATCTTTCTGCGAAGATCCTGTGGCCATGGGAATGATCCATGAATGGGAAGACTGCCAAAGGCCTCAAGGACAAGTTGAAGAATGCGGCCATGGCGAACACTCCTGAAGTTCCTGGACCACAACCCCTACTTGTCCTACCAGAGACTACTGAGGTAGTAAACCCTGGAACTCCTGCATTTCTCCGATCCTCGAGTGAGGCGGCCGATGAGAACCAGTTAGAAGGCGAAGAGAAGACCTACCTCCAGTAAAAAAAGGGTTTTCCTGGGAAGGGGGGTCTCAAAATGAATGGGGGTCTCAGCAATTGACTGCTGGGATGACGATGTTTGCATTGCAATTTTATGGAAACTTTGGGCTGGCTGGTTTCAGCACGGGCCTTTGCAGTTTGATTGTTGATTGCCAGCAAAATGATTCTTGATTGCTGGGCTGATGATGTGAGCCTTGGCAACATGATTCTTGACTGCTGGCCAGAGGGTATTGGCAATGTGTTTCTTGATTAATTTGATGGTTGCTGGGATGATGATATTGGCCTTGGCAATGTAGGCTTGGGTCTTAGCACGCTGAAGCGACATTCGCACAACTTGTGGGTAGTATGGACGGTCAAGAACCCAGCTTTCAGTTTGCTCAACATTGGGCCAGCGTTGTCGTTTACAATCATTAACGTTGTGGGCGCGACTAGGCGTAAAACGCCAGCAAACAAAACGGAAACGGAGTCATTCTGTTGCTGCTGCTACTTGGGGCCAGGGTGCTGGACGCACAACTGCGGACGTGTGAATAATAACAAGAAACGTTCAGCTGGTGAAACGATAATCCGTCAAACAAATTCAAGAGGGCTGCGAACAGGGGAAGGGACCGAGGGGAGCTGTTGAGAGCAACAGGTAACGGTTTTTTTCACGTCAGCGCTGACCTATTACGTACAGGTCAAACCCCGACCCAAAACGTGACAACAGGAACGCCAGCAACGTTTCAGGCCAAGCAAGACAATGTGCCTGCCCAACTTGAGCCAAAACGCGAACTTGAGCCAATTTTCACTTTTTAAATTTTCACCCAAAATGCACGGTGTCGCTGACTAAATATACAACTTGCTGCAAAGCACCTCTCTCACCAAACCCTACGGGGCTACCTCATCCAAACCCCATCAACCGATTGGACGGTTTCAGTTGCCAAGTGTTATGGGTTCTATTTACGGTTTAATCGATTTTTTTTTGAACACTCGCATTGCCGTAGGCACCTCCCGCGTTGACATTTGTTTTGGGCACGCCGTCTCAAGTCCGCTGGCAGTAAGTCAGTTGACATGAACTTTGCCACTCGTCAGCTCACATCTACACAGGCAGTCAGTCAACTTCCTCAACGAGCTTGTCTTCGACCGCGTCAGACTCTTCGCCTCCCTCTTTTTCCACATCGTCAAACTCCCCAGTCTCGGCGTCGTTTGGCTTGGAAGCGCTGGCTGCTTCGGGCTGAGGAGGTCCTCCCGTCACACCGTCAGACTTTTCATTTCATTCCACACTTTTCATTTCATTTCATGTCATGTCATTTCATACTTTTTGGTTTCATAGGGGCACAAAAAGTGGATCCTTCACATTCAACCTGGCTTTGAGCGCACCGTGGGAGCTGCTCTGTCAAGCTGGCCTCAAACAATTTCATTGTTCAAGGCGCGAGCTGGAAAACAGTAAGCAGGTGGACTTGCTTTCCGAAACGGTGCCAAACTAAGCAAAACACTGCCAGTTGTTGGCAATACTCGATGGTCTGCCCTGCAACCATTTGGTCTCTCACAACATCCTCGGCGTGTTTTGAAGCACACAGCGCCCCATGAAATTAGTTCTAAAACCACACACAAAGCTCAGAAGAAGTCTTTGAATACCGTGAAGATCATGAAGGTACGTGCATACGCATGCACACTTGCGTGGCATCCCTTTTAACTTTAGGCTATATTCAACAGATTTCAACAGTGTTAAAACAAATTTCAAGCGGCAATGGCATCGCGAATCTTCTGCTTCTCGAAATACTTGCCACCCATACTAACGAGTTGCTTGCCATCAACTTTGAACGCAAAAGTGTTGCTATACTTGTAGTAGTAAACTGGACCGATCTTCCCAGCAGCATGGCCACCTTAAAGTCTATGCGTTGTTCCCGAACAATACGCGAAGACACAAAAGCACAAAACACACGATGATCTCACTAGACAATAGCACGCTGTTGAAACTATCAATTGCCCATTAAAGCGGCGAACCACAAAAAACAACTGCTAGTTCAACAGAAACGCTTGAAACGGACTGCTTCTGCGCTCGCTCTGCTGGCTGGCTGGCTGCTGGACGCTTGAGCGCTGACGGCCTTTTCATGGCAATGGGCTCAGGTTGTTCAGCATCGTTACCATCAGGCGCAGGCTCTTGGGCTGGTGTGGTTGGGGTGTCCGCCTTCGACTTCGACTTTGCTTGCGCTTTTGCTTTGCTTTTGCCGTTGGCCTTCGGGCTAGCCTTTGGCTTCGGCTTCACAGTTGGATTGGTCGGGGCGGGTTCATCTCCTGTACCTGCCTGTTGAACCTTGGTAGTTTTCTTCTTTGGAAGGGTTTTCTTGGGCTGGGCTTTAGGCTTTGCTTTGGCTTTCTGCTTTGCTTCAGCAGCTGCTGCTGCAGCAGCAGAAGCGGCTGGATCCTGCTGCACGTGGCACGGGGATTTTGGGGAACGCCGTTAGAAACCACAAACTTCCATCGTTCAAAAGCCGACCCAAACTTTTGAGGGGTCCTGGCACTCATCCTCTGACCCACTCAAATTGGTAAGTGCTGGCAAGGCATCACCCATGGCACCAATCACCAGCAACAGTGGTAATTGCAAGTCAGTACGGGGGCCACTACGCAACGCAGACTCGAGGAAACAAAGCCGGCGCATTCATCGCGTCTCACAGAATTCAAAAACTCACTGGAAGTGGTCTGTGGCTTGCACAGCAACGCATTCTAGTCTTACTGCTGCTGCTATTTAACGACATGACCCTGTCAGAACTGCCAGCACGTCAACAAAATTCAGCAACCACCATTCGCTGAGGTTAGCTGCAAACACTTCAAAATGCAGAGCTGCAGCCGGGAGAAAACAATTTGAGAAACACTTTCACAATAAGACCAACATTTATGGTCATTGAGTCAAGTTAGGAACCATCTTGGGAGGCTCAAAAAAGGAAACCTCCTCCAACAGCTCTGCAAAGCATCACACATGCTGCGCTGTGAGCACAGCCTCAAGCACTCGAGTCGTAAGGCTCACAACTTCACGAAAGTTGAGGGAGCCAAGCGCACACTGCTGGTAAGGTAAAATTTTGGCTTCAAGGGAACGACCTTCGGTGTCGAACCACCCGCTTGGATCTGAACCTGTGGCAAGATTGGCATCAAGGGCGCAGTAACAGCAGCAGTAACTGCGACCATTTGAACATATGATTGCAACATCATACTCCAAAAGAAAATAACACACGTGGCCAAGGTTTTGAACACCTTAAGTATATCACTGTCTCTTTTACCACAGCACGAATCTTTTTCATTCTCACCCCCCTTGGCAAAATGCGCGGGCGCTGCATTTGACAACTGCCTACTGGTTTACACATTAAATTACTTGGTCGATGTCTTCTATTTTACACCAAAATCTCTATTCTCCAGTAGGGCCTTTTTGGTTGCTGGACTGGGACCCCTGTCTGAAGACTCGAAATCGGACACTGCAGCTAGGCGGTTGGCTAGTTATTTCTGTCATTTTGATGTTAAAAAATAGAGCTCAGCGCTGTTCGCCAACACACTTTGTCTACCCAGAAGGCATGACTTTAGAGACAAAGAAGGCCTGCCAAATCGGATATAACAACCACACCGGAACACTAAGCGGGCGCAGCCTCCCAGACCAAAGCTGCATGCTTGCAGTTCTCTTGCCGCAAAACGTGGTTCAGGTTGCCGACGAACACAGCTCCAAGGCTCGCAGGTTTGTGAGCCTCTGTGTCTGGGTTCACCAAGGCATTTGGCTTGAAGCAATTGCACTTGTTGGAGTCGGGAACACGCACGTTGTAGCGGAATGGGACAGTCACCGTCGACTCAGCGCCATTCTCAGTAACCTTACACGCCAATCTCTCGGTGCACCAACTCACACGTCAACAACACAGCAACGTGCAGCAACTAAAGAGCGTAAAGGAACTGTCCTTGTCTTCGGCTCGATCTCATGATCCCACACAGTGAAATCTGCAAGGCCCCGCTCACGAGCCATCTTGCACAGAAACGTGCACAGTGGCATGCATTGCTTCTCATGCGCCACCAAACTCATGTCGGAGGCAAGCCTCCAAGGTAATGTAGCCGTCTCTTGGTGCCCACTACCTTCATGGCTCAAAAGGTCCCACTACAAGCAAACATGGCAGTGACCTCGAGGCAAAAAGAACCTAGCAAAATGTATTTTAAAAGAACCTAGCAAAGCCAAGGCACCACGGATGATGAGCACTTGGAATGCTCCGGTATTAAAGCCAAACAGTTCACCTGGCTTGACAAGCATTTCCTCTGTCGTGAAATTCCCAAGGAAAACCCCGTAGGTCTTGGAGATCACAATGGACGGGCGGCCGGATTTGCCAGGACAAAGCGCCAACCTGCCATCTGCAACATTCGGTGAACGGTCATGGTCACACTATGTCACACTGTTTCAATATCAACACAATTTGGTGGAAGCCCCGGCCTCTCTTCTGAAAAGCTCTCAGAGGGTATCTTCACCAAATCAACTTCTCGTTCAAGATCCAGCAAATCTGAATTGGTGAAGTCCGGAGATCCAGTGGCTCGGGCGGAAGGGTTGGAAGGGTTTGCCCTGCTGGTCATGTTCTGGGGCCGAGCAGTAACAGCAGATTGGTCATCCGCGTCCGGCCACAAGACTTTCAACTCGTTCAGCAATTCTGACAGCACATTGTACTGCTCACTTCCCCGTGGAAATTTGTCTAAGACTCCAGGCGGAACTTTTGGCCTGTCATTCTCCCAGCGAAGGACACGCAAGTCTGGAATTGTAGCCGGGTCGCGTGGCCGCCTCTTTGGCGGAGCATGGCTGGACTGGTCCCACCAGTTGTAGACCACTTCTTCAACCATCGGGACAACATCCTGCTGGGAGTCCTTCAAGAGCCCAAGGTAGCTCACATTCTGCATCTTTGAACCAGTCAGCTTTTGCTGCACAATGGCACGGCCAAATTCGGCCCACCTGAACCCGGCAGACGTTAACAAAAGGATGACAAACAAACGAAATGGACTTGATTCTTCAAC